GTGGAGCATGAGGGGCTGCCTGAGCCCCTCACCCTGAGATGGGGTAAAGAGAAGTTTGAGCACAGAGCCTGTTATCAAGGAAAGACTCCTGAGTAATGTCTGTGCTAGGAGCTGGGGGTTAGGGCCCTTCAATTCTTCCCTCTCTTCCCCTTTCTCTCTCCCTAGAACCACCTCCTTGGCCTGTGGTTGGAATAACTGTTGGTGTAGTTCTCCTTGGGGTTGTTGTCATCATTGGAGCTCTGATGGCCAATGTGCTGATGAGGAAGAAAAGTGCAGGTATGGAAGGGATTGTGTCTGAGGGTTTTCAATAGATTTGAAGCCATACATGGAAATGTGTTCTTTGGCTATTTTATTGCACTGAGACACATCTATGTATAAGAGCTTACCTAACTGGGGCTCTGTGGGACACCTTTTGTTGTTGTTGTTTCTGAAACAGGATCTTTCTACATAAACACCTGGCTGTTTTGGCACTTACAATGTAGACCAGGCTGTTCTCAAACTCTGAGATCCACGTGCCTCAGCCTTCTGAGTACTGGGATTAAAGGTGTGTGCCAAAATGCCTGGCTGCACTGGTCCTTTTGTAAAGTCCAGGGTTCTGGGAGGGGTATTCCTCTAGGATATCACCATCCTGAATCCCTGTCAGTCATTCTCTTGCCCTATGTGGAGTTGCTCAGATAACGTTCCCAGGAATCTGCTTTCTCGTCATTTTATTTCTATCTTGTACCGTCTTGTCCCAGCTCTTGACTCTCTTTACACACTAGGGAAACACCTAGTAACAGTATAGAAAGGGACCAGAGAGCTTCATCACTTTCCCAAACATTTCTACAGCTGGGGTACCACATGAGTTCTCAGCTCCACCAGCTGAATGACCACATGTTGGACCTTGACCCGGCTGGACATTGACCCAGCCTGTGGTGATAAGAAAAAGCTAGAGCTGCAGAGCATGAAATTGGCAAGGGTGACATTGACATGGTTTCCATGCAAGCTGTCCCAGCCACAGAGACCAGTGCCAGGGTGTCAGTAAGGAGATCAGTGATCCCTGTGCCCTACGGATCCCATGTGAGAACTGATGTTGATGGGCATGTTTGTTCTGTTCAGGCTTTCTCCTGTTCTTGCCTTTATCCTTGGACACTAGTGCTCCAGGATCATGTATTGAATTCCTTTATTTATGTATAAGACATCAGCCTAGGGACCTTTCAGATAGCAGCCAGTCAGACCCTCCTTATGTAATTGCTACACCTCATGGAAGAGAAGACAACATGTATCCATCAACAAGAGAACTCCCACCTTTTCACTCTCAGCTGTCCCCCAACCCCTAACACCCACTCCGACCACTGATGACAAAACGTAATGCCCATATAAAACTTGTTTCCATCACAGACACTGTTCTCACCACTAACATCAGTGGCCACAATCTTGTCCCAAAATACCAAAGACTCTTTCCACATCCCCCATTTAGACTGTTTGCTATGTAGCCCAGGACTCATTCTGCCTTTTTCTATTTGTTTCTTAATAGCATCCCACACTGCACCCCAGGCTGGCTTGGAACTCACTATGTAGCTGTAATGAGGAACCTTCATTGTCAACTTGACTGGATTTAGAATCTCCTGGGAGATGCAATTCTAGTAATTCACATCTATAAAAGTGTTTCCAGAGATTAGTTGAGGATGGAAGGCCCACCACAAATGTGAGTGACATCATCTCTTGGGTTGGGACCCAAGGATAAAAGGACAGAGAAAGCCAGATAAGAGGATCTCTACTCTCTGCCTCCTGATCTACTGAAGTCTGAGGAATCCTAGCTACATGTTCCTGCTGCCATGTGTTCCACCATGCCTTGTGCTGAGATGGACTGTACCGTCTTAAACCATGAACCATAATAAACTTCTTCTTTTAAGTTGCTCGTTACAACAATGAAAGTGGTCACACAAATCCATATGGGCCTTGGAGTCTCTGCAGCCCTTCTTTCCCTGTTCTGGAACACTAGGAAGACATATATGAACCTCCATACTTGGCAGCCAGAAGTACTTATGTAACATTCCATAAGTGAGGCTGATATATAACCCAGGACATCTTTCTCTACATCCTTGCAGCTCTGTGATCTGAACTCCAGCAGCCTCTGTTCCCACTTGGTTATACAGAGAATCTTGACTCTTCACCAGACTTCCTAAATCTTTTGGTTTTGGTTTTTGTTTTTGGTTTTTTGTTTGAGCCAGTCTTACTATGTATCCTTAACATCCTGCAACTGGAAGTACAATCAGGCTGGCCTTGAACTCAGAGAGGTCTTATTATAGGAGGTACCTATCTCTGTCCTAAGTACTGGGATTAAAGGCCTTTGTCTCCAAGCCTGGCTTCTTTCTGAATCTTGTTGAGATGTTCAGGGGACTCCTGTGCACAGGAGAGTCTGTGACTCCTTGGTCTACAGGCCTTCTAGACACATCCCCTGAGCTGCATGATCTGTTCCTGGTGTGTGTTCTGATGAGATCACTGAGTACAAGAGAGGCCAGAGTGCAGTCTTGTTTTCTTTCTTGTTTGTAATCAACCATTTGTTTGGTGATTTTATTTATCTCCAAGGTTCTACATTTTATTTAATATCACCACCTAAATAAATTTCTCTTGCCCAAACAAGGCTACCAAACCTCACAAGACTTAACTGTCTCCAGTTGTAAATCTGGTTACTTTGTGTGCATTTTCCTGTCTGCAAACAACAAATCTATTCTGCTACTTGTACAATCCTCAACTTTTGGCATCATTGTTACTTATTTTATAGTCCATATTTAATCCAATAAGAAATATTGTAATGTCCATGTCTTAAATGAACCTTAAATTCAATGTCTTTGGAATCCTTTTTTCTGCTCACACCTTAGGAAAAAGGAACTGGTTTCATTTGCCTATACTAGTAAATGACTTTCCAATTGCTTGATTCCCACCAATTCATTGTTCTTAATCAGAATGATCCTTCATTTTATTTAGTTTATATTTGTTTTTGAGACAGTCTCTGAAGCTGAACGGTAGTCTCCTGTGTCTGCTTCCCAGTTTCTGTGTTTCTATGGACACACTGCAACATCTTGCTCTTGGTTTGTTGTTGTTGAATTATTTATTCATTGTAAACATTAATACTCTTTTAGATGTATAGCCGGTAAAGATTTATCCTATTCCTTAAACTGTCTTTTTACTCTCTAATGGTTTACTTTGTTGGGCAGAAGCTTTTCAAGTTCATGCAATTGTGGTTTTGTTTGTTTGTTTGTTTGTTTGCTTTTTGTTTTTGTTTTCTGAGACAGAGTTTCTCTGTGTAGACCAGGCTGGCCTGGAACTTAGAAATCTGACTTCCTCTGCCTCCCAAGTGCTGGAATTAAAGGCGTGTGCTGGCTTTTCTTTTCTTTTCTTTTCTTTTCTTTTCTTTTTTCTTTTTGTTCATGCAATCTTATTTGTTACCTCTTGGTACTGTCTCCTCAGCCATGAAACCTTTCCCAAAAGTCGTGGTCTATACATAGGTCGAAAGGGTTTTCATCTAGCAGATTTCAGGCGTTCATGTTGCATTTAAGGTCTTTGAGTTTATTTTTCTACAGGGTAAAAAATAGGAAATGTAGTTTTGTTCTTCTACATGGGGATATCAAGTTTTCCCAATACCATTTGTTAAATGAGTTTGTCTCTCCTCTCCCCCAACCCACTGCCAATATATGTTTTAGGTATTGTGGTTGAAAATAAGATAACTGTATGTAAGGGTTTTTTTTGCAGTGATCCAAAGAATGCCACAAGTATTACATCATGCAACAGACCTTACCCAAGAAATTTACTGGCAGTCTACAAAAGGTTGCCTCTGAGTGAGGATAAGAGGAGAAGAAATGGGGGTGGGGGAAGAGAGTGCACAGTGCTCACTTGGACTTCATAGGGAGGTATGGAGCATGCATATATGTGACCATGGCAAAATTGGAAACTTGTTGCATTAGGCATTGGGATAATAGGGATGCTGGCCAATGGATGGGGGTGGGGGTAGGGGAGCACTTAGTTCTGGAATGTGATATGGTTTTAAATACTAGGTTTCTTCTCTGAGCGAGAGTCCCCACCCCACCCCAATCCTCCCACCCTGCTACATTAAGTCTCTTCAGGGCTAGGTACATCCTCTTCCACTGAGGCCAGACAGGGAAGCCCAGTTAGAAGAACAAACCCCAAACCTGCCTGTGCCCAGCCCATATATTTACATATCTCTTTAATCACATTCTTATATTGTCCAAGGCCAGCTTCAGCACTGCAGGGTAAACTGAGGAAGGAAGCAAGTGTGGAGTCCGAGATTGAGGTTGGTGTTAGTAGCAGTAGTTGGTTCCCTGCCCCTGAAGACCCTGCCCTGGGCAAGAAACTCTTTGGGGGCTGACAAGAAAGAAAAAGAGAAAAAAGTCACACACACACACACACACACACATACACACACACAAATCTTTTAAAAGTGTCATGTAGTTTAAGTTGGCCTCAAACTCATGTCCAATCTCCTGCTGTAGAATGCTGGGATTACAGCTGTTGGCCACCAGGAACTGCTCAACTGTCAGTTTTTAACATAGTAAATATCGTTAGATATAACCTACATAAAATTTTGAGATCCTTGATCATGTGTAAGCACAAGCAAAAGATCCTGAATCTCAAACATTGAGAATTTCATAGGACAAAGCTCCTTAACAGGACTCAGAGAGAGTAGATGTGTCAAAGAGCACCAAGGACAGGAGGAAGCAGGTTTTCATAAGTCCCCAGACTGAGGTTTTTGCCTTCAAGGTGTCTGTGGTGGGAAAGCCATGAGTTGGGAAGTCCCTCGTTCCCCCTGAATTCTCTCTGGGTAGCTTACAGACTGTGTCAGTTATGCTGTCCTTCCATCTGGACCCATATTCCCAGTGCATGCAGGAATTTTGGAGAACTACTCACAGTCACTGTGGTATCTTCCCACAACTCACAGCACTATAAACTCCACAGAGAGGAACAAAGTCTCAGTCCCTCCAGATTTTCCACACATCAAGATGGGTGCTCCAGTGCTGTGTGCCAACCTCCTGCTGCTCTCAGCATTCCTGCCTCTGATCCAGACCAAGAACCAGAGCTTTGCAGGTGAGTGTGGTTCTGGAGGGAAACAGCCTCAGCCTGGAGGAACGAGGGCGATGGGTGCCAGTAGCTCTGAGCAGCACCCGGGAAGCCACTCCTTCTCATCGCCAGCCAGACTCTCCAGCTCCCTTCGTCATCCCACCTTCGGAGCCCGGTACCCTAAATCCCTCTCAGCCCACGCATCCACCGGAGATCCAAGAAGGAGGTCGGGGTCTCACCGTGCTCTGTCTACAGGTTCACACTCCCTGAGGTATTTGGTAACCACGACTACGACTCGACCAGGTCTTCGAAATTCCCATGTCCTCATTGTTGGCTACGTGGACTACATGCAATTTACGCGCTTTGACAGTGACGGAGCTACTCAGAGGATCCAGGCGCGAGGACCCTGGATGAAGCAGATGGGGCCTGCGTATTTGGAAATGGAGAGAAAGGCACACGAGAGGTATTCACACACGTCCCGAGAAAACCTAAGATTCGCAATCCAGGTCTATAACCAGAGCGATAATGGTGAGTGACCCCTTCACATTTCCACAGATCAATGTGAGTCATCCAGTGTCCAAGACCCTAGGTTTGGCCAGAGGCTACGGGATCTGCAGATACCCAGAACCCAAGAGAATGGTGGGCCTAGGACTGGTTTCCAGTGTAGATGAAAATTCCATGGGTGGGCTGTACTGACTTTCTGGCCTGTGGCAGTCTTTCACACCTTCCAGTGCTTCCTTGGTTGTGACATGGGGCCAGACAGACACCTACTCCATATGCAATATGAACATGCCTTTGATGGCCGTGATTATATCAGACTGAATTCAGACCTGAGAACATGGACTGTGGCAGACAAGACGGCTCAGATCACCCAGCGACAGTGGGAGGCAGATAATGTAGCAGAGCACTTCAGCAATTTCTTCAAAGCCTATTGTGTTCAGTGGCTACCGAGGCACTTGGAGACAGGGAAGGAGACTCTACTGCGCTCAGGTATCAGGACCTCAAAAGTAACTCCTCTATCTGAATTCAGAGTAGGGAACATACTTCCAAGGAGGGAGGAAAATGGGACCAGCTGAAATACTACTGCTCTCTTTTGCTTCCAGAGTTGGAAGGGAACTCCTGATTTTCCTGACCCAACATCAGATAGTGACTGTCCCAGGGCTCATCCTTCTTTCAGGACAGTTCGGTGTCTCTCAGGAGGATAAGATAGAAGACTCCTGAAATAACCAATAGCCACTCCCTTCAACCGGCATGCCATTGTGAACTATGGCCTCCCATATGCTAGGTTCTGAGCTCACACCCAATATCTTTGGAGGTCTGACTTAAGTGGTGCTGAGTCTCTATGCCCTCCACCCAGATATCCTCTTTTTCATGGTTGAAATTTTAGGAATTTTCTACTTTGTACTGCCTTCCTATAATATTAGAATTTTTCAAGGAGTAGATTATACTGATACCTGAGTGTAAACTACTTGTTTGGGGTTTGCATCCCTTCTAACCTTGATTCTCCTATCCATTGCCAAGACAGGGACATGAATATTGCCTAAATCCTCAAAACAATATACAATGCTTGAATTTTCCAATTTTTTTTCAGATCCCCCAAAGGCACATGTGACCCATCAACCCAGACCAGAAGGTGATGTCACTCTGAGGTGCTGGGCTTTGGGCTTCTACCCTCCTGACATCATCCTGACCTGGCAGAGGAATGAGGAGGACCTGACCCAGGACATGGACCTTGTGGAGACCAGGCCTTCAGGGGATGGGACCTTCCAGAAGTGGGCATCTGTGGTGGTGCCTTCTGGGGAGGAGCAGAAATACACATGCCGTGTGGAGCATGAGGGGCTGCCTAAGCCCCTCACCCTGAGATGGGGTAAGGAGAAGTTTGAGCACAGAGCCTGTTCTTAAGGAAACACTACTGAGTAGTGTCTGTACTAGGAGCTGGGGGTTAGGGTCCCTCAACTCTTCCCTCGCTTCCCCTTTCTCTCTTCCTAGAACCACCTCCTAGGCCTGTGGTTGGAATAACTGTTGGTGTAGTTCTCCTCGGGGTTGTCATCATTGGAGCTCTGATGGCCTTTGTGACGATGAAGAAGAAGAATGCAGGTAGGGAAGGGATTGTGTCTGAGGGTTTTCAATAGATTTAAATCTGTACATGGAGATGTGTTTGTTGCCCATTTTATTACATTGAGATGCAACTATAGCTGGGAGGTGGTGGCGCACGCCTTTAATCCCAGCACATGGGAGGCAGAGGCAGGAGGTTTTCTGTGTTTGAGGCCAGCCTGGTCTACAGAGTGAGTTCCACGACAGCTAGGGCTACACAGAGAAACCCTGTCTCAAAAAAGAGAGAGAGAGAGAGAGAGAGAGAGAGAGAGAGAGAGAGAGAGAGAGAGAGA